ACACAGAATTGTTACTGAGGGACACAGAATTGTTACTGAGGGACACAGAATTGTTACTACTCAGGGGACACAGAATTGTTACTCAGGGACACAGAAATTGTTACTCAGGGACACAGAATCGTTACTCAGGGACACCAGCAGAATCGTTGAATTAAAGAGTATGTCTAGACAACACGCAGAGGAGTGGCAGAGGAGGCAATGTTTCAGGAGCGAGCAGACGTGGCAGCAGAGGAAGGGGTCGAGGCAGCACTAGTCACAGCCAGAGGCCAGTGCTCCCGGTGTCATCCAGCGGTCGTGTCTCCACCGACAACCCTGCCGTCATCGATTGGTTGGCTCGGTTCGTTGTTTCCTCTTCCCAGGTCACCTCTGACACCTACAGCCAACGGTCGGTGGGTACGTCAGACACAACCGTTAGTTGGCATGGCCCGGGAGCAAGCCCACTGAAATCACGTGTCCTCTACCTGCCCCTGTCCTTTGGTGTTCCCTCACCAAGCGAAGTATCGCATGTTGTGGGCTCAGCCCCACTGTACAGTGAGGAAGAGCTAACAGAGGGCGGTCAGGAACGGGGGAGACATCCGCCTCTTCAGCAGCCAGGCGAAGAATAACTGGCGAGGAGAGTGGCTCGGTAGCCGGTCTAGAGACAGGTCTGTCTCCTGACCCACACGCAGCCGAGGGGGCTAGTAGTGAGGACGCGGAGACCCTAATTGATGATGATGATGAGGCTGATCGCACTTGGCAGCCTCGTCGTCATCAGGCTATTGCTTCCGCATCATCAGGAGAAGAGGGTGCCAGCTTGCCAGCGAGCAAAACAGTCGGTGGGTTGCCCAGGAGGCAGCAGGGTCGCAGTAGTGTCAGTGGAGGCAAACGGCCACGGAGTAGAGCACCAGCTCCACTGCAGCCTACCACCACGGCCAGTAGTGGTGCCGGTGTGCACGGAGGAAGTAGCAGTCAGCCAGTGAGGAGTAGCGGGGGCAAAGTTTCCTACTCGGAGCGGTGTGGCAATTTTTCGTCAAGCCGCCCACAGAGGAAGTAAACGTAGCCGTATGTCGACTATGTGGCCAGAAAGTCAAAGCGTGGCCAGGGGGCCCATGTTGGGACTACAGCGTTGCGTCAGCATATGCAGCGTCGCCATTCGGTGGCCTGGGAAAACCGTGATAAAGATACGGCGGTTCTGCCTGCCCCAGCCCCCGCTCCATCACCCCGCTCCCGTTACTTGCTCCGTCACCCGACGTCAATCGCCCTCTATCAGCCAGTCAAGGCTCCAACACCTCTGCTGAGGGGAGTTGTCGCTCGTTGCCATCTTCCGCTCGTTCAGATGCTCCTTCTCCTGCTACTCCTCTTCACGGATTCCGTCAGCAGTCTTTCTTGCAATCCGTTTCCAAGAGACAACAGTTTGCGAGCACGCACCCGACGGTGCAGAAGCTGAACATCCTCCTGTCCAAGTTGCTGGTGCTGCAGTCCCTCCCTTTCCAAGTGGTGGACTCAGCACCTTTCCGAGAAATGATGGCTTGTGCTGAGCCGCGGTGGAGGAGTGCCAAGCCGGCATTTCTTCGCCAAAAAGGCAGTGCCAGCCCTGCATTCACATGTAGAAGAGATGGTGGGCCAGTCTTTGAGCATGTCGGTCTCTGCCAAAGTGCACGGCAGCGCCGACGACGTGTGGAGCTGTAACTACGGTCAGGGACAGTACATGTCATTTACGGCCCACTGGGTGAACGTGGTGCCGGCACAGCCGCACCAGCAACTTGGACAGGTCACGCCGCTTTTGCCTCCACGTTTGCACGTCCTTGGTCCAGCAAAGATGTCCGCCTCTACCACCTCTTCTTCCGCCGTGTCCTCAGCCGCCACCCCCGTGCCAAGTCCCATTACCCGACCGGCATATCACATGTGCAGGGCGCAACGGTGTCACGCTGTGCTGCACCTGGTATGCCTTGGCGAACGTAGTCACACACAGGGGAGGAACTTCTCAGTGTAATGAACAGAGAAATCGACAGATGGCTGTCTCCGCGCAAACTGAAAATCGGAACCATGTTGACCGACAACGGAAAGAACATGGTGTCTGATCTGCGTCAAGGAAGGTTGTGCCATGCGCCATGCATGGCTCACGTGTTCAATCTGGTTGTCAAGCGGTTCCTAAAATCCACCATCCCACTGCAAGACATCCTTAAAATGTCACGTAAACTTTGCATGCATTTCAGCCATTCCTACACCGCAAAGCACACCCTCCTTGAGCTGCAGCGGCAGAACGGAATTCCACAGCATCGCCTGATCTGCGACGTTGCAACAAGGTGGAATTCAACCCTACATATGTTAGACCGCCTTTACGAACAGCGAAAGGCCATCACCGATTTCCTGATGTTACAAGCGGATAAAGGTACTCCCCTGTGTAACTTAGATGTCAGCCATTGGCAGCTCATGCGTGACACCTGCCGCTTGCTCAGGCCCTTTGAGGAGGCCACGCTAATTCGTGAGTCGGCAGGACTATGGGATGAACGACGTCATTCCTCTGTTGCACGTCCTGGAACAAATGCTGTTAACAATGGCTGGTCAGGGTGCGGTAGACGTGGCGAACAGATCTCAACGCCACATGACCCCTGTGGGGGCAGGACAGGAAGAAGAGGAGGAGGTAGAGGAGGACATTGGTGCTCAGGAATTATTGAGTGAAATGGGTGGTTTTTTTCCCACTCAGCGGACAGGAGTGGAGGAGCAGGAGCATCTGGTAGAGGAGGAGGAGACAGAGACAGAGGACCCAGACGCACCGTGGCAGTATGCTGTGGAGATGGAGGCAGGGAGTCCCTCGCATTCCTTGGCACAAATGGCCCATAGCATGCTCGGTTTGCTTGCGTAGCGACAGCCGAATAATAACCATCAGACAGAGGGATGACTTTTGGCTGTCCACCTTGTTGGACCCTCGCTACCGTTCAAAAATGGTGGCCTTTTTCACACCTGCTGAGAGGGAGGCCAAAATAACGTACTATAAAAACCACCTATGTAGTCAGGGTCTCTGCCTTTCTGCGCCAACGTCCATCCTCAGACACTGTGGGCCCTGTGCGCTCGCGTTCCGCTGCCATGGCAGCAGGGGAGGGGTGGGGTGGTAGGAGCAGTGGCAGCTCCACCAGCAGCGGCTGCCTCAGTCTGCAGTCGATGATGAGTAGCTTTCTTCACCAGCGCAGTGAGGAAACTACTAACCAGCCGCAGCAGCAGCAGCAGCATCAGGTGGACCTGGAGCAGGACCTCAAACAACAGGCTTGGGCCTACTTGGACAGCACCCTGCCAACCGAGGTAGACAATCCCCTTGACTACTGGGCAACGAAACTTGACCTTTGGCCCCAACTAGCTGAATTTGCCCTTGAAAGGCTGTCATGCCCGGCCAGTAGCGTGGCATCGGAGCGCGTGTTTAGTGCGGCAGGAGGTATTGTAACTCCGCGGAGGACACGACTGTCCACCCAAAGTGTGGAGAGACTCACGTTTGTGAAAATGAATCAGGCGTGGATTAGTCTGGATTTCAAACCACCAGTTCCTGACACAACTGACTAAATCCGCCATGAATCATGCCCCAAACATGTTATTATTTTTAACATAGGCCTCTGTATGGCCTTCAATTTAAGCTGCTTACGCTTGCTGCCACTCTGCCATGGGCCCCTGTACCGCCTCCTCTTGCTGCTGCCAGGTCCAGAGTGTGTCATGGGTCCCTGTACGGCCTCCCATTGCTGCTGTCTCCATCGCCACACTCTGCCATGTGCCACTTTCAGGTCTCCTCACACTGCTGGTGGGTTTCCATTTTGTCATAGGGTGCTGTACGGGCCTCCCATTGCTGCTGCCAGGCCCGTAATCTGCCATGGGCCCCCGTACCGACTCCTCATGCTGCTGCCAGGCCCGTAATCTGTCATGGGCCCCTGTACCGCCTCCTCATGCTGCTGCCAGGTCCAGAGTGTGTCATGGGTCCCTGTACGGCCTCCCATTGCTGCTGTCTCCATCGCCACACTCTGCCATGTGCCACTTTCAGGTCTCCTCACACTGCTGGTGGGTTCCATTTTGTCATAGGGTGCTGGCAGATTACGGGCCTCCCATTGCTGCTGCCAGGCCCGTAATCTGCCATGGGCCCCCGTACCGACTCCTCATGCTGCTGCCAGGCCCGTAATCTGTCATGGGCCCCTGTACCCGCCTGCCTCCTCATGCTGCTGCCAGGTCCAGAGTGTGTCATGGGTCCCTGTACGGCCTCCCATTGCTGCTGTCTCCATCGCCACACTCTGCCATGTGCCACTTTCAGGTCTCCTCACACTGCTGGTGGGTTCCATTTTGTCATAGGGTGCTGGCAGATTACGGGCCTCCCATTGCTGCTGCCAGGCCCGTAATCTGCCATGGGCCCCCGTACCGACTCCTCATGCTGCTGCCAGGCCAGTAATCTGTCATGGGCCCCTGTACCGCCTCTCTGCTCATGCTGCTGCACTCTGCCATGTGCCATTTCCCTGTACGGCTCTCCATTGCTGCTGCCAGGCCCATAATCTGCCATGGGTGCCCCAGATTACGGGCCTCCTCATGCTGCTGCCAGGCCCGTAATCTGTCATGGGCCCCTGTACCGCCTCCTCATGCTGCTGCCAGGTCCAGAGTGTGTCATGGGTCCCTGTACGGCCTCCCATTGCTGCTGTCTCCATCGCCACACTCTGCCATGTGCCACTTTCAGGTCTCCTCACACTGCTGGTGGGTTCCATTTTGTCATAGGGTGCTGGCAGATTACGGCCTCCCATTGCTGCTGCCAGGCCCGTAATCTGCCATGGGCCCCCGTACCGACTCCTCATGCTGCTGCCAGGCCCAGTAATCTGTCATGGGCCCCTGTACCGCCTCCTCATGCTGCTGCCAGGTCCAGAGTGTGTCATGGGTCCCTGTACGGCCCATTGCTCGCATTGCTGTGCTGCCACTGCTGGTGGGTTCCATTTTGTCATAGGGTGCCATGGGCCCCCCGTACCGACTCCTCATGCTGCTGCCAGGCCCGTAATCTGTCATGGGCCCCTGTACCGCCTCCTCATGCTGCTGCCAGGTCCAGAGTGTGTCATGGGTCCCTGTACGGCCTCCCATTGCTGCTGTCTCCATCGCCACACTCTGCCATGTGCCACTTTCAGGTCTCCTCACACTGCTGCTGTGGGTTCCATTTTGTCATAGGGTGCTGGCAGATTACGGGCCTCCCATTGCTGCTGCCAGGCCCGTAATCTGCCATGGGCCCCCGTACCGACTCCTCATGCTGCTGCTGCCAGGCCCAATCTGTCATGGGCCCCTGTACCGCCTCCTCATTGCTGCTGCTGCCAGGTCCACAGAGTGTGCCATGGGTCCCTGTACGGCCCTCCATTGCTGCTGCCAGGCCCGTAATCTGCCATGGGCCCCCGTACCGACTCCCTCATGCTGCTGCCAGGCCCGTAATCTGTCATGGGCCCCTGTACCGCCTCCTCATGCTGCTGCCAGGTCCAGAGTGTGTCATGGGTCCCTGTACGGCCTCCCATTGCTGCTGTCTCCATCGCCACACTCTGCCATGTGCCACTTTCAGGTCTCCTCACACTGCTGGTGGGTTCCATTTTGTCATAGGGTGCTGTAGATTACGGGCCTCCCATTGCTGCTGCCAGGCCCGTAATCTGCCATGGGCCCCCCGTACAGCCTCCTCATGCTGCTGCCAGATCCAGAGTGTGTCATGGGTCCCTGTACGGCCTCCCATTGCTGCTGTCTCCATCGCCACACTCTGCCATGTGCCACTTTCAGGTCTCCTCACACTGCTGGTGGGTTCCATTTTGTCATAGGGTGCTGGCAGATTACGGGCCTCCCCATTGCTGCTGCCAGGCCCGTAATCTGCCATGGGCCCCCGTACCGACTCCTCCTGCTGCTGCCAGGCCCGTAATCTGTCATGGGCCCCTGTACCGCCCTCCTCATGCTGCTGCCAGGTCCAGAGTGTGTCATGGGTCCCTGTACGGCCTCCCATTGCTGCTGTCTCCATCGCCACACTCTGCCATGTGCCACTTTCAGGTCTCCTCACACTGCTGGTGGGTTCCATTTTGTCATAGGGTGCTGGCAGATTACGGGCCTCCCATTGCTGCTGCCAGGCCCGTAATCTGCCATGGGCCCCCGTACCGACTCCTCATGCTGCTGCCAGGCCCGTAATCTGTCATGGGCCCCTGTACCGCCCTCCTCATGCTGCTGGCCAGGTCCAGAGTGTGTCCATGGGTCCCTGTACAGGCCTCCTCACACTGCTGCTGCTTCCAGGCCCGTCATAGGGTCTGCCATGGGCCCCCTGTACCGGCCTCCCATGCTGCTGCCAGGCCCATAATCTGTCATGGGCCCCTGTACGCCTCCTCATGCTGCTGCCAGGTCCAGAGTGTGTCATGGGTCCCTGTACGGCCTCCCATTGCTGCTGTCTCCATCGCCACACTCTGCCATGTGCCACTTTCAGGTCTCCTCACACTGCTGGTGGGTTCCCATTTTGTCATAGGGTGCTGGCAGATTACGGCCTCCCATTGCTGCTGCCAGGCCCGTAATCTGCCATGGGCCCCCGTACCGACTCCTCATGCTGCTGCCAGGCCCGTAATCTGTCATGGGCCCCTGTACCGCCTCCTCATGCTGCTGCCAGGTCCAGAGTGTGTCATGGGTTTCTGTACGGCCTCCCATTGCTGCTGCCAGGCCCGTAATCTGCCATGGGCCCCCGTACCGACTCCTCATGCTGCTGCCAGGCCCCGTAATCTGTCATGGGCCCCTGTACCGCCTCCTCATGCTGCTGCCAGGTCCAGAGTGTGTCATGGGTCCCTGTACGGCCTCCCATTGCTGCTGTCTCCATTGCCACACTCTGCCATGTGCCACTTTCAGGTCTCCTCACACTGCTGCTGGGTTCCATTTTGTCATAGGGTGCTGGCATGGGCCTCCCATTGCTGCTGCCAATCTGCCCGTAATCTGCCATGGCCAGGCCCGTAATCTGTCATGGGCCCCTGTACCGACTCCTCATGCTGCTGCCAGGTCCAGAGTGTGTCATGGGTCCCTGTACGGCCCCCCATTGCTGCTGTCTCCATCGCCACACTCTGCCATGTGCCACTTTCAGGTCTCCTCACACTGCTGGTGGGTTCCATTTTGTCATAGGGTGCTGGCAGATTACGGGCCTCCCATTGCTGCTGCCAGGCCCGTAATCTGCCATGGGCCCCCGTACCGACTCCTCATGCTGCTGCCAGGCCCGTAATCTGTCATGGGCCCCTGTACCGCCTCCTCATGCTGCTGCCAGGTCCAGAGTGTGTCATGGGTCCTGTACGGCCTCCCATTGCTGCTGTCTCCATCGCCACACTCTGCCATGTGCCACTTTCAGGTCTCCTCACACTGCTGGTGGGTTCCATTTTGTCATAGGGTGCTGGCAGATTACGGGCCTCCCATTGCTGCTGCCAGGCCCGTAATCTGCCATGGGCCCCCGTACCGACTCCTCATGCTGCTGCCAGGCCCGTAATCTGTCATGGGCCCCTGTACCGCCTCCTCATGCTGCTGCCCAGGTCCAGAGTGTGTCATGGGTCCCTGTACGGCCTCCCATTGCTGCTGCTATCGCCAGGCCCGTAATCTGCCATGGGCCCCCGTACCCTCACACTGCTGACTCCTCATGCTGCTGCCAGGCCCATAATCTGTCATGGGCCCCTGTATCGCCTCCTCATGCTGCTGCCAGGTCCAGAGTGTGTCATGGGTCCCTGTACGGCCTCCCATTGCTGCTGTCTCCATCGCCACACTCTGCCATGTGCCACTTTCAGGTCTCCTCACACTGCTGGTGGGTTCCATTTTGTCATAGGGTGCTGGCAGATTACGGGCCTCCCATTGCTGCTGCCAGGCCCGTAATCTGCCATGGGCCCCCGTACCGACTCCTCATGCTGCTGCCAGGTCCCGTAATCTGTCATGGGCCCCTGTACCGCCTCCTCATGCTGCTGCCAGGTCCAGAGTGTGTCATGGGTTTCTGTACGGCCTCCCATTGCTGCTGCCAGGCCCGTAATCTGCCATGGGCCCCCGTACCGACTCCTCATGCTGCTGCCAGGCCCGTAATCTGTCATGGGCCCCTGTACCGCCTCCTCCTCATGCTGCTGCCAGGTCCAGAGTGTGTCATGGGTCCCTGTACGGCCTCCCATTGCTGCTGTCTCCATCGCCACACTCTGCCATGTGCCACTTTCAGGTCTCCTCACACTGCTGGTGGGTTCCATTTTGTCATAGGGTGCTGTATGGCCTCCCATTGCTGCTGCCAAGCCCGTAATCTGCCATGGGCCCCCGTACAGACTCCTCATGCTGCTGCCAGGCCCGTAATCTGTCATGGGCCCCTGTACCGCCTCCTCATGCTGCTGCCAGGTCCAGAGTGTGTCATGGGTCCCTGTGCGGCCTCCCATTGCTGCTGTCTCCATCGCCACACTCTGCCATGTGCCACTTTCAGGTCTCCTCACACTGCTGGTGGGTTCCATTTTGTCATAGGGTGCTGGCAGATTACGGGCCTCCCATTGCTGCTGCCAGGCCCGTAATCTGCCATGGGCCCCCGTACCGACTCCTCATGCTGCTGCCAGGCCCGTAATCTGTCATGGGCCCCTGTACCGCCTCCTCATGCTGCTGCCAGGTCCAGAGTGTGTCATGGGTCCCTGTACGGCCTCCCATTGCTGCTGTCTCCATCGCCACACTCTGCCATGTGCCACTTTCAGGTCTCCTCACACTGCTGGTGGGTTCCATTTTTTCATAGGGTGCTGTATGGCCTCCCATTGCTGCTGCCTCCACCGCCACACTGTGGCTTCACACTCTGGTTTTGGCCCCGTGACTGCCCAAATGAGTGAAGTGTGCGGTGATTCTAAGGACGGCACTCATCTGCATGTCATACTGACTGACAGTATTATTTCTCTTCCCCAGCAGACTCCAAGGGCATTTAAATTAAAGGTACAGTGTTCTGCACTAATATAAAGGCTCTCTGAAGCCTAGAAACACCCTTTTTATAAGTTAAATTCGCAGCGAATATATTCAACTCGAATCGAATTTATTCCGCGAATTCGCCGAATCAGCCGAATCGAATTTTTGAATAATTCGCTCATCTCTAGTTATCTTATTAGCTATTTGACAGCTATGTGTGCTTTATCCATGTAGAGTGATACTATTAACCTTGAAAAAGCACAGGACCTTCAGAAGTGGAGATGGTGCAACCTTTCCAGTTAACCTGGAAGTTGGACTGTATATTTGTCTAAGCACACAGTGGTGCTATTTAATTTACAATGTTTCCCCCACCATTTAACCCCCTAGATGCTGGGGGCACCCTTATTCCTCCATAGCTGAATACAGATATGTAGGTGTGACTATTACTTATTAAGATTTTTTTTCTTTCCAGAAAACCAACATCAAGTGAACGTTCACATTTTCAAGAACAATCATGACATAGCATTGTACATGGAAGCATTACCTATACCATCTGTACATCGGCAAATTGTTAAGCAACTGTACAGTTATAGTAAATCAACAGGAGCATAAAACAGGACAAAAAATTCCACCGTGCATCAGCAACAGAGACACCTTAGTCCCCAGGGTGTCCAACCACAGAAACTAAACTCTCTTGAATTTGCCCCGCACATCCCCTATTCTGATAAATATACCTTTCCACCCTAAGTATTTCACCATTGCTTTAACCAGTCTGCATGTGAGAGAGGTTCCACCAATCTATGAGCCTAGAATAATGCCCTGGCTACAGCTCCTCTGTGTGGGTCCTGCTCCTGTAGGTCACTAAGTACACCAAGCAAACACTGTTTGGGATCTTCCCTAACCATAACCTGAAATATGTTATTCACAGTAGCTATAACCCCCTCGCAGTAGAGGTTCAATTTGGGGCATCGCCATAACAAATACATTAAATCTCCATGATCCCTCCTACATCTACTGCACAGTGGCTCAAACAAGGCAAAAATACATAGATTGAGGTAACTGTTAGGTAGTTTGGAGGTCCACAAAAGTTCTTAAGTACCCACTGGAAAATCTATGTCTTAGATGAGTGACACCAAATCGTTTCCATCTACCTCCTCTACCTGTATTTTGGCCAATTCCGGGTAGTTACCATTACCCCAGATTGGGCTATGCACAGTAAACCTAGTAATATTTTAGAATTGCTTGACCTCAGTAAATACTTATTTAATATAAATCAGTTTTAAAGCTAAATCAATATTGTGTTGAGCTGTTCACTTCATCAGGCTGATGAAGAATTGGAGGTAGATGGTTTTGCCTCTCTTTCAAACCTAGTAATTCAGTAGAATAATGGACAAACAAAAACTGTGCAAAGGTAACAGCAGATTGTTAATTAGCTGGAAATTGAGAAAAGGCTTTGAAAAGTTGTAGCCAGGTTGTCACCTTGTTCTCAGCAATTGATACATTTAGATTCCTGTCCAATTTTAGTTTCTTTTTCATGAAGTCCTGTCACATCAGAGGGCAGGTGGCCTGATGCTGTGTAAAAAAAAGTGGTAGGAGATGATACAGGATATACATTATAGGCTTTTCCATTTTCTGTTCTGAAGACCTGCTTGTCTGTTTTTGAGATTCAGAGGTATACGTTCTCTCTTTGGGTTTCTCAGCTTCTAAGCCATTCACTTTAATGGATTTGTCTGAGTACTCGGAATGTTTATTCTGCTCTTTAGAAGAGTTAGATGATGGTGGCATACTCTTTGCATGTTTTAGTTTTAAAATATTTGCAGCTGCAATACAAAGCACAATTTTTACAATTTTATTAGTGTGTTGGTAGATTACAAAAGGAGTGGCAAATGTGAACATTTTAAAGGGTCAATCCACCCATCCAATAATTTAGTCTTAGTGGCAGAGCCTGGTAAACTAAGTAAATCCATGACCTCCTATTTAAACCCATGGCTATTAAAAATCTGAGGCTGGAATCATATTTGTACAATTTGGCCACCCCAAATGTAGCCACTATATCTAAAGATTGGTAAGCTGCAATATATTACTGTAACACGTACTGAGCCCCCACAAAACTGTGTGAAAGGGCAAGGACGCCACGGTGTTCAAACTTCATCCACGACAGTATGTAACACAAGTTGATGAATAGCAGCAGTGGGTCCCTTCTCTTCATCCCCCAGGAAGCCTCTGGTGCAATATACAACTGCTAACTAATGTCAGAGCCCTCTCATGCCTATTGGCCCAATCCACCATTCCAGTCTGGAAACCCTAATAAAAATGTCACCCTTGCAAGCTTGAGAAATCTGGAGAACTAACAGACATTGGGTCATAAATACCTTAGTGAAGGTTTGTGGAATATACATTTCTGCTTATCATCCGAGACTCTGACATTTCAGCATGTTTCATAACTTCTGAAATTAAGATAGTATAGCTAGAATAAAGTCATATTCACCTTCATCAATTATTGGGTGGCATTTTGAACCCAAACACCCCCATGCTAGGAGGTATCAGAGTGGAGTAGGCTACACCCCTCCTATAAAAAATAGATATCCGAGACCTGTCATATCTATATCCATTTTGAAGCTGATTTCATTCTGGGCAATATTCTGAATGGTAGCAGACTGTAAATGGTAGGTATTCAGAAATATGAATATTTATCAGAAATTGTATTTGGGACTTGGTCAAAGTGTACTGACCTCCCAGCACCCACCCCTAAAACAAGATGATTGGTCAGATGGTCTTTATCAACATCGCCTTGATGTCAGATAAAAAAAGATTTTAACATCAACCAAGGAACACTGAACCGGACTTGAGGGAGCCACTGTATCATTTTTGCTTGATCAATTGGACTCTGCTAAAACCAAGGACTTTGCAAGTACTGTATTCTTCATTTTCAACAATTTTTTAATTCTCTGTTGTTTTATTGTCTGTTTGTTTCCTTGTAACATCCTTTTTTCTGTAAATATTCTATTTGCACCATTTTGACCTTTTCATTATTAAACCTTTTTTGCCCTAAGGTTTTTAATACAAACTAAAGAATCCCTGTCTCTTGAGGAGTGCCTGACAATTCTCTGAATATACCTGTCTGTGGTGACAGTGTGTGTACAGACATTTATTTTTCATATTTGTTTTTGCTAAAATTGTGAGTTTCCACCTTCTCAGTCAAAAGGTTGTGGTAGCTTAAAGAGTTAATTACTTAATTAACTTAACCCAATGATAATCGCTCTCAGGCTGCTGGCACCTAGATTGTGCACGCAAGCTAGCAAATCTTTGTGCAGGGTGCAACTTGCATTGTTACATAAGTGACAGCGTGGTGTTAGATTGGCCAGTCCCTTGTCACGAGTTTGTAAGAAGGGCAGGGGTTGGGCACCGTGTTTGTCACAGATACATTTTTGTTTTTGGATTCAGATATGCTTTAAGTCCACTTAAGACAGTGATTTTCAGTTGCGGCCAGAATTCAGAGAGGACTTGCAGGAGTGTTGATTAACAGTTTTTGGTATTGCACAGCAATTCTATTTACCTATTGCTTGCATCCACACACAAAAAAAAAAACCTGCTTCATGCCTTCATGTTGCCATTTTGTATAGGAATGCTTTAAAATTAGGCACCTTCCAAACAAAGCTTTCTCCAGTATTGATCACATACTGTATGTCAGTTTATAAATAATAGAATTGTGTTTGAAAATTCCACTAAATCTCAACTTGCTAGAAGCTGAATTAGTTTCAAAGTTAATTCCACCACTTGAAGCTGAGGTCTTTTTTTATTTTCAAAAAATCCATATATATTTGATTGGAAAGAGAACCTCCCCCAGCAGACCCAAGTTTATGGTTTTTCACGCTTTGTACTTTGAAAAAGTGCTGTCTGAAAGTGGTAGCCACTTGAGAAAAGGGGACTTGGCCTCCGAAATGTTGTGCCCAGATTCACTGTGAGGGACCGCCGAGCGGCACCCCTAGCACTCCACTGGTCAGGCATGCCCAAAGCGCGGAGTCTAAGCCCCAGGGTACTTGTTCACCAGGGCCCCTGATGGTGGGGATGGACTTGTAGTACCCCGAGACCAGGTCGCCACTACTGAGCACACCTGTCAGTGGTAGGGGTGTTCGCCAGGGGCTCCAACCAGGGAGAGCCAGATGTGAGGAGGTCGGGTGACCCCGATGGGATGGATGGATGGATGGCTGAGCAAGTGCGAAGTCAGACAGGCCGAGTTGGTAACGTAGAGGACGGTAAGGTACAAGGGAGCAGGCAGAGAATCGTCGGGTCACACGCCAGGTCAGCAACAGGAGGTCAGATCTAATGAGGGGCATCCAGGGAGAGAGGTCAGGCAAAGCAAGGGTCTGGGCAGGAGAAATCAGCAGGTCAAGAACAATCCGGGTCAATAAACTTACAAGGCACAGGTACAGAATCACAGGAAGCAGGTAAGACCAGAAGGCAACGAAATGACAGCTCAGGGACATTTAAATATCCCGCCCTGCGCTGCCATTGGTGCCCAGCGGGCAGCCGCGGCTTCTACTGCGCATGCGCAAACTCGAACGCCGCGGCCGGCCCGGACCTAGTGCCCGTGTACAGGGCGGAGCAGTGCGCCTGCGCCGGGACCATCGCGGCAGGGATCGAGGGGATCCCTGACATTCACCTTCTTGTATTTTGAAACAAATACTGCTATGCCTCTTCTATTTGGCATTTTCTTCCCTTTACCTTGATGCCAATAATATTGGCTTTCCATTTTATTGCTAAGTGCATGATAGCTACTACATGTTCCATGGTAAACTTTGTTATGTTATAATAACAATGACTTATCACACCTGATGGTTCATGTATATATCTGAGCATAAAATACATTTTGTAAGGTATATGTGTGTTTGTGTTTAAGCACATTGGATTATGGTGTGCTTACTCTCTCTCTCTCTCTATTTATATATATATATATATATATATATAATATATATGTGCATATTTCATAGGGTATACAGTAGGCATTATATCCTTATGAGTTTAAAATAGACTTCATTTTTTATGTTAAATGC